ACTCTTTTCTGGCTTGCAATGTTTCTTTTGAGAAGATAACTGCTAGCCATATCAGAACTCCCTGATATGTTACTACCTGTTTCTCCCTTGCTTGCTTTAGGATTCTCTGTTTGTCTTTGATATTTGCCATTTTAATGATGATGTGTCTTGGAGTGGGCCTCAATGGGTTCCTCTTGAGTGGGACCCTCTCTGCTTCCTGGACTTGTGTGACTTTTTCTCTTCTCATATTAGGGAAGTTTTCCATCATGACTTTTTCAAACAGGTTCTCTATCCCTTCCTCATCCTCTTCTCCTTCCAGTATCCCTATTATACGGATATTATTATGTTTCAGGTTGTCCTGCATTTACCTAATTGCCTCTTCATTCTTTTTGAGTCTTTTTTCCATTTTTTTTGCTCTTTCTGGGAGCTTTTTTCTACCTTGTCCTGCAGCTCGCTGATTTAGTCCTCAGCTTCATCTACCCTGCTTTGGATTCCTTCTACTATGTTCTTCAATTCAGAAATGGTATTCTTCATTTCCTCTTGTGTCTAATTGGTAGTTTCTATGTCCTTTTTCATGCCGATATACTTTGCAGTAAGTTCCTCGTAGTTTCCCTGTAGTTTTATGTAATTCTCTCTGAGTTCACTGAGCTCATTGAGCTTCCTTAGAACCATTGTTTGGAACTCAATATCTGAGTGTTTACTTGTCTCTATTTCATTTAGGTCTCTTTCTGGGATTCCTCCTTTCCCTTCGAGTGGAGAGTATTTTTTTTTTTTTGTCTTCCCATTATTTGTGAGTCTCATATTTTTGCTTCTGCTTCTTAAATTGATCTGTCTTGACTTCCCAACTTTATGGTGTAAAGTTCTATGGTAGAAGACCTGTGAGATTCAGTGGTTCAGTCTCCTTGATCTCCTGAACTTGCTGCCTGCTTGGATGCCATTTATGCCATTTATGCTGACTCTCTGGAAGTAATTGGGTTTTGATTGTCGTTTGCTTGTTCTTTGGTGGGTCCTACCTTCCAGCTGGTTGACTGAGGCTCACTTATCCCACCACATTGTGCATGTTTTTGTGCACATGCTGCCAGAACAAAACCATAAAGCCCAGGAAACAAATTCACATCCACAAAAATAACTACCCCCTGCAATCCCACTCTCAACAGCAAATGAACCAGTATTAGTAAGGCTGTAAATAGATTAAGACTGTTATAGGAAAGGAAATAAATAAACTATTAGTATAAAATCTAATGACTTAATGTGCACAAACTTGGTGGACCCAAAATGAACATTAAAAAGCTATGTTGTAAAGAAAATATCTCCAACCATGGAGAAAACCACAGTAGATTTCATCTCAGTAGCTTCTAGTATTTACCACTGTTTTTTAGTTTTGTTTTTTTTCTTAGTTTTTTCTTTCTGGATCTGCCTCTGATGATGTCATATGTTGACCTCATCTGACCTTAGGCAGTCTATTTGAGACTTCCAAAAATCTATTGTCTGTAGCTATCTCGTTTAGTTGTTAATCTAGTTGCTCTGCACTCAGCATTCAGGCTTAGGCATCAGAGGGCCAGAGCAGAGTCCCTCCTGAGTGCAGGCCCCACCCTGTCATGCCTAAGCCTGACTGCTGAGTACAGAGTGGCAGCCACAAATAGTTGATCCCTGGCTAAAAGGTGCACAGAGTGGATTAGAGACACTTGAGAAGAGACTGGCGATGGAGGCTTTGGGGTGAGAACTGAGAGAGTAGCCAGTGTGATCCCAGTGCTGAGTCATCCCCCATGCAGCAGCAGCCATCTTACTGAGGCACAGCCTTCTGCCTTTTGAACTAATCTCCTTTGAAGCAAGTTTCAAGAAATTATTGTTATGCTATAAAGTCTGCTGGGTTTTCAGGGCCTTCCTGCTTCAATGAAAACATAATGGCATTGGGCTGTGGTGACAAGGAAACAGGGTCACATGTTTCTACAGTTTCTCAGGTGCTGAGTCCAGAAAAATTTCTAAAGAACTAAAACCTCAGCATTTTAATTCTCCTTCATTTAACAATATTAAATCCAGTTAACTCTGCCTCAACCCTGTGATAGTTTGCTTTGAGAAGGCAGCTTGTCTCCTTGAAGAAATACGAGTGCCACCTGGAGGCCTGGTATGGTCCCCATTCTATGTCCATGCTCCTCTATGGACTTGGAGATGAGACTTGACCCTGCCTGGCCTCTCTGTGAGCCATGGGAGCAGCTGCACCCTGGGCTCATAGCCACTTATCAAGTGCAGGTTGACATCACCCTCAGAATATGGGATGCTCTGGTGGCACCAGCAGCATTTGACTCTGGGCACTGGACAAATGTAACAAGGTCTATACCCTTGTCCATTGTCATGGAGGTGAAATAGCAAATACAGAGATTAAAGACGGCCTGAACAACAGTCATGTGATGTGTGATGAGACAGACCAGAGGAGAGAGAAATAAAGTCTTCCTAGAATGCCCATCAAGCTTTCAGAGAGGAAATGTTTTCCCAATGGGGTAAGAGCATGAGAGGCTTCTGGGGAGGGATGGAGGTGGGCTGGATGGCCAGTGGTGAGTGGGGGTGGCCTGTCCTGTTATGCTGCCAGGAGGCTTGTCCACCTGCCCCCCGTTTCCCTCCTTTCTCTGCTAAGCACGCTCTGGAGTGGGCCAGAATGACTGTCTGAGAGACCCCTGAGCACCCAGGCTCCCCCTGGGTCTCTTTCCTGTTGTCACCTAACTTCTCTCTCATGCTGCTCAGTTTCCTGGGGTAACCAGTCCGTCATACTATTGTCACCCCCGCTGAGGGTCAGAAAATCCACATAAATACCATCTTTCCCCCAGAGGTGCTAGAAGTCTTGATCATGGATTGGGCTATGGCACTGGAAGAATATTTCCAAGCCTGTGTAGAGGAAATATCTTCCCTGCTGGGAGGTCCTTCATGCTCACCTACTCACTTCTTTACCCTAGTGATATTACTAGAATGATTACAAGACTGAGAGAGACCCTGGGGAGAAGGTCCCAAGTGTCCTGGCCACTGGCAGTGACGAAAGCACCCAGCCAGGGCCCTGAGCCAGCTGAACAGTGGCTTCCAGAGGGAAATGAGTGGTAATTTAAATGTTTTACATGTCCCAGTGGCCTTGTTAAGTTTCACACTTCCATCTCTGTAGTTTTTTATTTTTTCTTTAAATTCTGTTCCACTTTCTCAGTTCCCACAAAGCAGTTTAGCTGTCTCTTTGACACATTCAGACTTGTACAGTTTGGGGTCCCCAGACTGTTTGAAGACTACCTTCTGAGTAAGACCTTTCTACCTTGACTTCCAGTTATGCTTAAAATCAGGATGGGTACTTCTAGTTTCTAAAATCCCCACTGGTGGGAAGTGTGATCTGTTGGTTTTTATAACACAGCTGTCTGCTTCTATTGTACAATATTAGATTATCTTTGTGTTTCCAGTAAGGATATACTGAAGGCCTTTCTCTTCAGAATTCTCATCTATTTTCTGAATGCCTGGTTTGCCTTTCAGATGTACATGTTTACAGTATTTCTGTAACCTTTGTCTTGGAAATCTATTGGGATGTGCTTTCCTTTTTCCATCCCACACTAGTTCATCAAAAATACACTGTGTGTGTGAGTGTGTGTACATGCACACATGTGTGTGTGGCACTCACATGGAAGATCTTCATTCTCAAAGATGACAGTGTCACAGCCATATGGTACAGGCATGGTCTGGTACTACAGCATTCTCATGAGAGGTCAAAGTGAAATCTGCCACACTCTTTGCCCAGTGAATCACCCCAAAACTCAGTGGCTTAAAACAATAACCACATTGTTATGCCTACATTGTGTTTGGATCCTGTAGGTCAGGACCTTCGGCAGAGCACAACCAAGAGGCTCTCTTCTGCCTCCAGGATGCCTGGGGCCTCAGCTGAGAGCATGAAGGCTGGGGTTGGTGTGCTGGCCAGGTTGAAGACATATGGATGTGTGCTAGTGCACACCTGGAAGCCGATGCTGGTGGTTGGCTGGACCCTCAGCTGGGCTCTCTGTACTGCTCAGCTGGGCTGTGCAGTACATGGCATGTCCATGAAGTCTGCACATGTGCGAGCCAGTGCTTCCTCACAGCAAGGCAGCTAGGCTCTGAGAGTGGGAGCTAGCCTTGGAGTCCTTCATAACACTGTCAAGCAGTTTGGGATTTTGAAGTTTGAGGTTTTCCTGGATTATCCTGGCTAAGCCTTGCAATCAAGTTTGTGTCCATTTGTGTCCATCATATCTGGCCCAGCATTCAATATGTGCCCAACCAATGATTATAAACATTGCCCTAAGCAAAAGAGTTAAGAAGGCTGATCTGTTTAAGAGCAGTTGCATGGCCACCTGCTTCAGAATGGGTTAGTGAGGGAATCCAGGGCCTGGGGGACTTTGCCTTCACCAGGAGGCCACCCTCAGCTCTGGGACAAGCAAGTGACTCTCCCAGGAAATATCAGAGTTGCACACATGCACACACATGCTGCAGGTTTCCTATGTGGTACAGATTATATGTGCAGAGTCCAGAATTTTCCTTTGTTAAACTTCGCAAAGGAAGCTGTGTCAAGAATCCCTAAGGCTGAGGGAGCTCATCTCAGGAATCCTGGTGCAGAATAATTAATACGCTTGCCATGAAGTCTGCTTAGAAAAACTGGGTGAGGGGAAACCAAATTATGTTGGCTGCTGGTTCCCCTGACACAGCAAATGAAGTTGCCAGGCTAGGATGGGTCCTGTGATGGTGAGTGGGCATGTTCTCAGGAACAGCCCCCTGTAGCACCCTATCCTGGGAATGGCACCCTCCTCTCTGCTCCAGGTACCTCCTGGGCTATCTGGGGCACTTATGCCAGGTTTGGATAAAAGAAGGAAGACGTAAGTTGGAAAAGCTCTCAACCTTAGCTTTGTTTCTTCCTTTAACCAGTTTTACCAGATTATGTTTAAAGTTTCCAAAAGGATTATACTTTTCTCACTAACAAGGGCACTTAGAAGCATTAACCCACTGGATTTCAATTTTCTGTATCTTTCTAGAAAGAGAAGAAGAGTGGGCTGCTGAAACTTCTAGCAGGGGCATCCACCAAGAAGAAGTCTCGCTCCCCAACGTCCATCTCTCCCACCCATGACCACCAGGTGGCACTGGACACCTCACTCCGGGGGGCAGTGGGCTCCCAAGTGTCCTCACTGTCCATCCATGGCCGGGCAGGGTCCTGCCCCATAGAGAGTGAGATTCAGGGGGCGATGGGGATGGAGCCACTGCACAGAAAGGCGGGCTCCTTGGATCTGAACTTCTCATCTCCTTCCAGGCAAGCCTCTTTCTCCATGGCTGCCACCTGCCCTGAGCCCAAGCCCAAGCCAGTGCCCAGAGAGAGGTAAGATTAGAGGGTCAGCTTGCATCCTCTAAGACTTTGGTGTGGGTTGTTCTGTGAAGTCTGGAGCCAGTTTGGGGGAGCAGGGACAGTGGGAATTTTCTGAGGATTAAATTGGCTAGACATCCTCACTAGCCATATCTACTTGGGTCATCATGGATGGTGAGCACCTGATAAAACAAATTTGGGAATAAATGGGAGCATATTTCATGTTCTGAATCTATCTGGGTGCTGAGTTTGGGATTTATAAGGGATTCATCAGGAAGTTTTTCAGAACCAATGGGATATTGAGCCACAGAGAAGCAGTGAGAGGACTGTGTCCTTTCAACCCTGGGAAAACCCTGGAGTGGAGCCCCTGGGCTGAGTCCCCATGGACCTGTACACCCCACCCAGGAAGCAGCTTTTTTTTTAAGCGTAGCCCATTCTGACATCTTAGAATTATTAAAAATTACCCCCAAACCAGCTTCAAGCATATATACTCTTTTGGGTTGAACTATATAAAATTGCTAACATTCACTTTTTTTTAAACCAAAACCAGCAATTTTATAGAGTTCAGCCTAGCAGGAGTGTCTAACCCATAGCCCATGGGCCACATGAGGTCCAGGATGGCTATGAATGTGGCCCAAGAAAATCATAAATTTACTTAAAACCTTTTTTTTGTTGTTTTTCATCAGTTTTCGTTAGTGTTTGTGTGTTTAATGTGTGGCCCAAGACAATTCTTCTTCCAGTGTGCCCAGAGATGCCAAAAGGTTGGACACCCCTGCAGAGTTTTAGGAAAGTGAATCTAATTGAGGTGATGTGGCTCACTGAGGCCAGATTGTGGGGCCATAGGTGCTGAATTTTACAAAGGGTCAGGGGCTGAAGTCTTGCTCAGTGGATCAGCTTTAAATAAAGGCTGGAAGGTGCTGCAGAGAGAGGGGATGGTATCAAATTAGGATAATGAGAAAATACTTTACTTTCTAAGTTCCTTGTCATTGAATCACTGATTAAATGGTAAAAATGAGAAAGCAATCCTGGCAGCGCTGTCAGAATTTTTCACCCCTATGGCCACACTGACTGCCAGCACCTGTAGTCTGAGAAAGCCATCACTGCCCTGAGCATCTGTTCACCTCTGGTGTCATGTCAGGGCTGGTCGAGGTTCTATATAGATCAGGATTAGCACAGCTTCTCTGTCAAGGTCCAAATAGTAAATATTGCAGATGTTGCAGGACATAGTCTGTTGCAACTATTCTCCTCACCACGATAGCATGAAGGCAACCATAGACCATATGTAAATGATAGACACTGAAATTTAAATTTCATATGGTTTTCTTCTGTCATGAAAATTCTTCTTTTGATTTTTCAACTATTTAAAAATGTAACAACATTCTTAGCTCTCAGACCACCCAAGTCAGGTGCAGGCCACAATTTGGCAACCCCTGCAACCTTGATGATGGGATATAGAGCTAAGCCATTAGGGTGTCATTGAGATCCTGGGTGACTAAGAACAAATCTCTGTCCAAGGATGTGGTAGGACAACATGGACCAGCAATTTTTGACTTCTGATAAACAGGGAAAGTGTAAGTCTGTCTTTACACCTGCTTTTAGACTAACAGCTAGGATTTACAGAATGCTCTGGGCAGGGGTGATATGCAGAACATTTAACAATTGGTATGGAATTTAGAAGACATGAACTTCCAGGACAGCCATTTTCTGAATGCAGTTTAACACCTGCCAGCATCCCGGTTAATTCTCCCAAGAACCCTATGAATTCAGTAACCCCATTTTATAGATGAGAAAACTGAGGTTTTGTAAAAGTCTAAGTAATTTGTTCAAGATGCCACAGCAAGTTAGCAGCAGAGCCAAGGATTGAACTGAAGCTTTCCAACTCGAGAGCTGACTGAACCATCCTGTTTTGTGTGGTGCATAGGCAGCAGCCACCCATGCTCACCTGGCCCACAGAGGGATCTAGGTATGTTCAGTTGTAAACAGTACACGTATGTCACAGGGTATCAGCATCTGCTTCTGGATCATCCACAGTGGATCACCACCCCAGTATCTGTCCAAGGTATACCTGTGGTCCTGATGCCCACAGCAGGATTAAGTGTCTTCCCACAGCAAGTCCCCAGACCCTATGGAACTGTATTCATAATCCATATCACCACACGAGCACATACCACATAAACAACACACATACTCCATACAAACAGACCACACAAGCATACATGACACAAGTACACACCCACCACAATAAAAACACATACCATACAAACATCTCAATATAAAAATCCATACCGCACATAACACACAAACATTAATATACAAACACCATCCAAAAGCACCACATAAACACATTAACACAAACATACACTACAAACAGTGCACAAACAGCACACAAACACACTAACACAAACACACACTGCATACACACCAAACACCACACACCTTAAAATACATGCCAAATACATACCAAACACAGAAACACAAATATACCATAAATACACCTATAACAAGTGAACATACGTACCACACAAACACCACACATTACACAAACACACACTATAGGCATACACCACAAAGCACACACACCAAATATCAGATACCAGATAAAGACACAATCACTACAACACACAAGCACATACTACACAAACACAAATACACATTTCATAAACCACACATTACACAAACACACTCTACAAATATACAAATGCATCATACAAATACTCACATATCACACAGACATCATAGAAGCATATATACCAAACAACACATAGCTGCACTTGACACAAACACCACAACACACAAACACAGACCACAAATACACAGAAACACATACCTCACAAACCATACATTACAGAAACATACCACACATCATACCAACACTACATAAGCACAAACACACATAAGTGCATCACCACAAATATATACCATACACATCATACAAATACCACACACCAGAAAATTATATAAAAACCACAACCACATGAACACAACACACAAACACTATAACATACGAACACATCACAGTACAACACACACCACATAAGCATACACAAACCACAAAGAACACATACTACACAAACACAAAAATACCACACAGCAGCCAAGCAAACACACTACACACAACCACGCATCACAGAAACATACACACCAAACACCATACAACATACAAATACAATAAGACATACAATTACTGCAAATAAGCACACAGTACACAAACAACACACAAATACCACAAATAGGCACTACAAATACCTACACCACTCACCATAAAAACATTATACACTAAACAAACACACAAAATCAGACACCACAATTACACAAAAACCATATTAACACACAAACCACACATATTTTACACACACAACACAAACACCGTAACACATACCACAAGTACATATTACACAAACATTACACATGACACACAACACATAAACATACACCACACAAACAACATAGCACATATATTACACAGAAACAAACACACTAAAAATACAAACTAGAAAAACATCAAACCACACAAGCATACACATCACCAATGCACAGCACACAAATATGACACATCTCACAAACACAGACACCATGCAAACACTACACAAGTTTACAACACCCACACCACAAATACACATATACCACTCACCACCGAAACATATACAACACACAAACACACATGCCACACAAACACAAAAGAAATACTACTACACAAATACCGCACACCACACAAAAACACAGCAAATACACAGCACATGAACATCACACACTATCAAACACACCGCTCATACACAAACACACCACAAAACACAGCGCAATGCAAACACACGTCACACAAAAACACCATACAACACACACATCACACAAACCTACACATACTACCAAACACCATGCACCACACAATAAGAAACACATAACATAAAAATATACTTAACACACAAAAGGCACTCAAGCACATACCACACAAACACACAACAAATGAAACACACACCATTCAAATACATAAGCCTTTCAAACACCACACAAGCACACAAACATCATATAAACATTTAAAACACCCAAACACACACCATGCAAACACATAAATAAAAGAGACATATGAAATAAACACCACAAACACATACCATGCAAATATTAGACAAACACACAAACACTACAAAAAAACAACTACACCACACAGACCACACACACTACACAAAGCACACATACCCTATAAACACACGAAACAGAAATAAACATCATTCAAATAATACACACCACCAAATCACAAACACTACATTATCACTACATACCACACAAGCATGCAAAGACCACAAAGCACACAAACACCATCTAAACAACACACATACAACACACAACACATGAACACAACACAAACACATTACAAATACCACAAACACACAGAGAACATACAAACAGACACTACCTACAGACACATACCGCAGAAACATACTACACCATAACACACACATACTGCTCAAACACACACACCATCAAAACTCCATATAAATAGTCAAATACAAACTCAAATGTCAAATATGCAACACACAATCAAAAAATACCACATAATACTCTGCACAAATTCATATACACCACAGAAATAAAACAAACTACACAAACATACACTACAAAAACATACCCACTACAAATACACACCGCACAAACACCTGTCACACACATACAACACACTGAACACACACACCATAAATACATTACACAAAACAAACCACACACACATACTACACAATTATACCATGCAAACAACACAAACCACACAAATACCACTCAGGCACACATCAAAAAATTAGACCACACAATATATACAATACACAACAGACACACTTCATAAGTACATGCCAAATACATACATACCATAGAAACACTAACTCACAAACACAAATCACACAGACACATACTACAGTAATACACAGACACCACCAATACACACCACAGACTACACACCAAATATCACATACCACAAAACACACAAAACACACACACCACAAAAACACACCATAAATACACAAATACAC